GTGTGCGCAGGCTTTCGTTGTTGGCGACGGTGATGACTACTTCGCGTTGGAGTTGGTTCTCTCGTTGCACGAAGCGTCCTGAAGAACACATGGGTTGTCCGCAGCAACTGTCCAAGAACCACGTGTCCTTTTCGGATGGCTCGCTTTGGGCGATGGCTGCGTATGTCGGATTCGGCTGGAGTGAATCGCGGTGAGGTGTGGTGTCGTCGAGTTGTTCTTCCGGTGAGTAGTACGGTGGTGATCCCGTGATGCAAGAGTCGCTCAGTCTTGCCATGCAACTGACGATGTTCCTTGCTCCTTGTGCAGGTTGTCCTGTTGAGGTCGTTGAGGCTTTAATCTGGGTCGTAGGATTTGCTTGTGTTGAGGCGACTTGATTGCTTGAAGGTCGAAGCTGCCGCTGTGAAGGCGTTGACTGTTGTCGATTCGGGCAGTGCGTGCGCGGGTGCCCTGACGTCTTGCAGATGTGGCAGAACGGAGGTACGGGCTTCGGTTGTTGTTGTTTGTTGTTGTTGTAGCGTCGCTGAGTGTGGAATGCAAATTCCGGTGCTGATGTCTTCTTCTTGTGTCGTTCTTCTTGCAGGTCCATGTCTTGTTGCTCGGCATGGATTTCGGCGCAGAGTGCTGCTTCGGAGATTCTTCCGTGGGCTCGGAGAATGGCCTTTGTGGCGCGCCATTGAGGACCGAGGCCGCCAATGATGACTGTCACGAATGCGTCTTCAGAAATCGACCCTCCGCATCGAAGAAGCTTGTCGCGCAACTCGCGACATCGGCTGATATACGCCATTCCTTTCTCGCCTGGTTTCATTTCGACCGTTGTCAGTTGCGCCATTAACCGACTTTGATTTACGCTGTCTGTTGCTTGATACAGGCTCTTCAAGTGGTTGTATGCGAGCTCCGCGGAGTTGCCGTAACCCCGGTAAGACCGTATATTCTGCTGTTGAGTCGGGGTGATGTTTCTCAGTAGAATCGTGTACGCCATCATCGACTGATAGGTGTAATGCTGCTTCTCATACTGTGTGCCGTTTGTTGGGTATGGCAGGGACCCGTCGAAGAAGCCGAGGATTTGCGCGCCTTCCATCATCAGCTCGAACTCGAATGACCAGGTAAAGAAGTCATTTCCGTCGAAAGGTCTTGACGTCTGCAGCTTCAGAACGTGCGCGAACTGCGACTGAACTTGTAGCGCGTCCAGTGTCTTCTCTTGTCCAGGTGCAGGCTGTGTTTGTGGCATAAAGCTGACGGAGCCGCGCTGGGGCTCGTACGGAGCAAAGGTAGGTTGCTGCTGTTGATTTCCACGTGCGTAGGATGAACCATCAAGGCTCATTGGAGTCACGTCGTTGTTGTTGTTGCTGTTGTGTGACTGCGCAGGTACCGATTGCTGGTGTTGCTCGTAGAAGGACATGAAGGAGAAAAACTTCTCCATCATGCTCTGGTCGAAGCCTGCAGGTTGATTCGCAGGAGTCTCAGTAGACGTTGCTCTTGGTCTTGTTGCCGTACCCTCCTCTGTCTGTAGGCCAGAGGCAGGAGGTGGAGTTGGAGTAGTGCCGGGAGAATCAATAGAGGAACTCCTTTCCTTCTGAGTAGCCATGTCTTCTGATGTTGTAGGTGTCTTGATAGTTGAATTCCCCCTGATAGCTCTCATACCATGTTGGGCTGAGAAGATAGCCCTTGGGATCTTTGCAGGGGTGAACTCTGGGTAGGACTGATGTAATAGCGGAAGCGTTTAATGAAGAGTTGTGAACCACCTTGCGCTAGTATGTGAGGGCAAAGTTGATTGATTAAAAACAGAGAGATACAAGATTATATAAGAGTACAGGGAATATGAAGGGGTACAGTTATAACTGTTTTACTGTTGCTGTTGCGGTTCGATACAGTGACGACTCGGGCAACTGCTCTGTAGCGAGTCAGTTGTGTGTCCTTGCTGTCGCGCTGTACTTTGTCAGGTCAAAGGTCGCTGACCTTTGACTTTCGCGAAACCTCCAACAGTTACTTTCAACCTCCGAGGGTTGACTCGCCGGTGCTTCGATATGCTTCGCTTTGTTTGTGCCTTAGTGTTTCGACACGACAGAGGCGCTTTAAGATTGATTGTTTCCAACACGGTGTACACATTCGATAAAAGGCTGAAAAATCAGTCCCCTTAAAGAAAAAAAGGCTGAAATTTCAGGGTTATAAAATAAAAAGAGAAGAAAACTCAGCCTTGGTACAAAGAAGTAGGCTGAAAATCAGGAAAATCAGGGAAAAATCCCTGATATCATAGTGTCAGAATATTATGCTCTAGCCTGTAGTGGGGTGCTCTATAGCGAGTACAACTCTTCTAGGGTTTTGCTATTTGTATCCCCATTCTTGCTAGTGCAACCCTCTTCTTCTCTCCTCTTCTTCTCTCTTCTTTCTTCTAAACTTTAACATGGTATCAGAGCAGGTCGATCCCCTTGGATCGATCCTGTGGGTGGGCTCACCACCTTGTTGCTTCCGCTGCAACTGCTACTGCTACTCTCTGTGCCGCACGCCCCGTGGCGTGCGGCAGTTTTTCTTCCCGCCGTGCGCCCCGAGGCGCGCGGCGGTTTTCTGCCCGCCGTGCGCCCCGAGGCGCGCGGCGGTTTTCTGCCCGCCGTGCGCCCCGAGGCGCGCGGCGGTTCTCTGCCCGCTGTGCGCCCCGAGGCGCGCGGCGGGCTTCTGCCCCGTTGCTCGGCGCGTCGCCCTCGGGAGGCGCTGCGACGGGCGACGGGGACCCGCGCGTCGCCCCCCGTCGCCCGTCGTGGCCTGCGCGCGGCCCCTGCAGCCCCGTCGCGCCGCCCAGGGGAGCCGCGCGCGGCCCTGCTGTCCCGTCGCGCTGCCCAGGGGAGCCGTGCGCGGCCCCTGCTGCCCCGCCCCGTCCCGGACCTGCCCCGGCCCCGACCTGCCCCGGCCCAACTCCCGTCGCCCGTCGCGGCGCCCTGGGGGGGGCCGCAAGCGGCCCCCCCCAGCGTCGCCTCGACAGGCGACGGGAGGGGAGTATGCAGGGGGCTGCGCGTCCCCCCCCCCCCCCCCTACCTCCCTACCCTGTTTTTTTAGGGTTTGGGGGGTGGCGGTTGGGGGGTGGCAGTTGGGGGGTGGCGGGTTTGTGTTTAACCCTTCTCCTCCTCCTCCTCCGTCTCCCTGTGCTGCAGCTGCCGCTGAGGGGGGGTGGACGTGTTGGAGCCGGTGGAGTGGTACTAAGGGGGGGTGAAGGGGGAGTGGAGCTAGCGGTGTAGCAGCGGGTGTGTGCCAGGGGGGAGTGGGATAGTTTGGGGAAGCTGAATGGAGGTTGCCGTCGTGTCGCCAGCAGCACCTGTATTCCGGGGACTTCGTCCGGTAGCCCAGTCGTAGCCAGCTGTGCCAGCCGCCCGTGGGTCCGTTGCTCGTCTGCCGCTACTTTAGCCGCGGGGCCTGTTACTCCTGTATTCCGGGGACTTCGTCCGGTAGCCGCTGTGCCAGTCTGCCTCCTGTTGCCCGTGTGTCTGCAGCTTCAGCCGTCGCCTCCTATCTCCTCTCCTCTCACTCTCTCTCTTCCTCCTCACTTGCCCGTTGTGACTACCACTAGCTTTGCTCATAATTGTGAACTTAAACTATTGCTTCGTGAACTTGTGCTCAGAATGTGTGGTGACATTGTGATCCACCCTGAGCTTGTTTTCTTTTGCTTGCTCTGCTGATTACACCCCACTTTGGCTATGGGGGTGTGTCAGAATATTATGCTCTAGCCTGTAGTGGGGTGCTCTATAGCGAGTACAACTCTTCTAGGGTTTTGCTATTTGTATCCCCATTCTTGCTAGTGCAACCCTCTTCTTCTCTCCTCTTCTTCTCTCTTCTCTCTTTTAAACTTTAACACATAGGGCATGGTAGCAAATGCAATAATAGGACTCTTGGAATTGAATGTCCATACACCATTACCGAGCTGCTCCTTGTCGCAACCTTGTTGTCTAACCGAGTCGACCTGTAGACTGTCCATTTGATTTGTATCCGTGATCCACGAATTCGCGGGCCTGACGCGCGCAGCGGACCTCGCTCGACTGACAGGTTTCACAAAAACGGTCGTGTCGCGACTCGACAGTCCCAATGCCCACAACCAGGCTCTCTTTTCCATACATGATCTCGACAAGGCAAGTTAAAAATAGTTTCTTTCAGCAGCAATAGCTTTCTCCAATCCACCCCACTTTCTGCTTAGGTAGACGTCTTTACGCAAGAACACACTCTGTATGCGCATTGTCCCCTGCAGTAACTTATACAGGTCGTTATTTCTGTCCAAATAGCAACCGAATCGCGGTTTACAATGAGGCGAAGCAGCAGTAGGCCGGTGTCAACGGTCAACCAGACCTTGCTCGTTCTCGCCGTTTTGCTTCTCGCGGCTCCGAATTCTTTTATTCTCGTTCGATCGCAGCCCGTCGATCCGTCGCAAAGTGAGTCGCGCAGATGCTCGCTCTCGCCTTTGCTTCGTTCGATCGCAGCCAGTCGATCCGTCGCAGAGTGAGTCGCGCCGATCCACCTTATGATATCAATTGACGTCTTAGTGGACTCAAGGACGATATTCTGCGTGAAATCAGCTGGTTGCTTAGCATTTTCAATGAACCTTTAGACGTACGAAGATAATATGTCAATCGCTCCATCACATAGAGTAAGAATGCACGCATTGTCGCTCGTAATGGGTGCGTCATCCAGTGTTTTTTTCTTAATTAATTAATTATATATATATATATATATATATAAACTAGATTTTTTACGGTCAAAGCCAGCGGTGCCTCAGCTTGATTCCCGTCATATACCCATCTGACGTAACTCTATCTGAAATCCAGCTTTTATTTTGCTCTTAGTCTGATCGCACGGTTCATGCTAGCTATGCAGTATCTCTCAAGACACGTTTGATCGACTGGTGAAGTCACTTATGAAAATTCTCGAATGCGATCAGTAGTCAATTTTCCCCTCGCTCTGCTTTCTCGCCCTCAAGACGTCCTATTGTATCGTAGTTTTGCGAGTCGCATCTTCGCGGTATAATGGTCCACGGGGTAGGACTATGCTACTGCTCCCCGCCCTCCCCCCCTCCCAGTCCCCTCTTCCCAACCCTCCCTCTCCCCCCTATTCCCCACCCCCTCTCCCCCTACTCCCTCTCTCCCTCTCCCCCTATTCATCACCTCCCTCTCCCCCCATTCTCTCCCCTTACTCCCCCTCTCCCTCTCCCCCTATTTCCCCACCTCCCTCTCCCCCTACTTATAACGCCCCGCTACCAACTGGGTCAAAACGGGGGTTGTATAGAGGCGCAGCGGATGCCCGTCAAGCCTCTGTGTAAGCCCGCAGGCGCAACACTGCTCCTCACCCCCTCCCCCTTACTTTCGTCCCCATCCGCCCGTGCTTCACCCCTCCCCCAGTCCCCGCGCTGCTAGACTGCTAGGCGCTGTCACGGGTCCGCAACTGCACGACGGGATGGGCAACGGGGCCTTTTGAGACGTCTCAAAAGACGGGATGGGTTTTGAGACGTCTCAAAAGACGGGATGGGTTTTGAGACGTCTCAAAAGACGGGATGGGCAACGGGGGAGGACTGTGCTACTGCCGAGGGGCTGTGCTCGCTCTCTCTCCCCCCCACAACCCCCCATCCCCCCTCCCCCTTTCCCCCCCCCATCCGGCCCCCAGTCTCGGTTCTCCTAGACTGCCAGGCGCTCTGGATCCGCAACTTCACGGGATGGACGACGGGGGAGGACTGTGCTACTGCGGAGGGGCTGCAGTGTGACAGTAACGGGATGATCGTGAAGATGTGAGTGTGACTGTAACGAGGGAGTTGTGAAGGCTTGGGTGTGGCTGTAATGGGATTTTAGTGATGATGTGAGTGTGACTGTAGGGATACTTGTGAATATATGAGTGTGACTGTAACGAGAGGGTTGTGAAGATGTGAGTGTGACGGTTACGGGATGCTGCCTCCGTTTCTAGGCAACGCCATAAGCAGCTCACTAGCCTCAACCCATTGTTCTGTTCCCCACTCTCCCCACTTCCCACCACCCTCCGCGTTCTCCACCACTCTCCCCAACCTCCCCAACCTCCCCAACCTCCCCAACCTCCCCAACCTCCCCAACCTCCCCGATCTCCCCAACCTCCCCAACCTCCCCAACCTCCCCGACCTCCCCAACCTCCCCAACCTCCCCTTATCCCCGCCAAGGCCATGGAAATGTCGTCAATGGCAGGGGTTCTGCCCTCGCCTCTCCGCATACTGACGCACCCCACACACCCGCCTCACCCCCCCGCTCACTCCCCCTCTCACTCCTCTTTTCCCCCCGCCTTCCTGATCCCCGCCAGAGCCATGGAGATGTCGTTTCTGGCAAAGGTGCTGCCCTGCCCGTCTGGTCTGTTGGCAACACAACACAGTGAGCACCTCATTCGCCTCTCCACCCAACCCACTCCCTCCCCCCCCCGCCCCACCCCAACACACACCCGCCTTATCCCTGGCAGGTCAATGGAAATGTCGTCGCTGGCAGGGGTGCTGCCTTCGTCCATTGCCAACCTGACTCTGTACACACGCAGTGCACCCGCCTCACCCCCCTTTCCACGCTCTCTCCCTCTCCCCCACACACCTTTCTATCCCTGGCAGGTCAATGGAAATGTCGTCGCTGGCAGGGGTGCTGCCTTCGTCCATTGCCAACCTGACTCTGCTGACCCACCTCACCTGCCCCCTTTCTTCCCCGCTCTTTTCCGCCCACAACCACTCACACACCCTTATTTCCGCCAGGTCAATGGAGATGTCATCCCTGGCAGGGGTGCTGCCCTCGTCTCTTGGCAACCTGACTCTGCTGACGCACCTGTAAGCCCGCACTTGAGAGTAAGTGCTACAACACACACTGCCTGAGCACTGAAACACTCGTTGAGAATTCTCACGAGTGAATGAAAGGGTTGCTGCCGTTGCCTATAGGCAACCTAACACACACACTTATGCACTTGGACTGCTCAGGCTTTCAAATGTTGAGTGTAAGCCTGAGCAATGCGACCTGATTGATTGTGACAGCTGGTTGTGAGACCAGTGCTCTCAGTGCGCTCAGCAGTGCTCTCAGTGCGCTCAGCAGTGCTCTCAGTGCGCTCAGCAGTGCTCTCAGTGCGCTCAGCAGTGCTCTCAGTGCTGCTCCCAGAACCTCTAACAGAACAAACTTGACAGCGAATTTCCAAGCATCTTGCCCCCCACCACTCCAACCACCTTTCCTCTCCTCGTCTATCTGCCCCTCTCCTCGTCTATCTGCCCCTCTCCTTGCCAATCCTCCCCTCCCCTGTCCCCGCCCCTCCTCCCATCAACCTCTTTCGTAAAACCTCGACAGCGACATCCCCACCACCTTCCATCACTCTCCCCCTTTGTCCCTCTCCTCCCTTCGCCCCTCTCCCCCCAGCAAACTCTTTCAAAGCAACCTTGACAGCGACATTCCCTCCCACCACCTTTAAAACCTGCTCGGGCTTCATTCCTTCATCCCCTTATTCCCGTCTTGACTTTCTGCTCCCCGCAACGCCCCTCCTCCCAGCAACTTCTTTCAGAACAACCTAGACAGTGACATCCCCACCACCTTTGGCGCTCTCACAAACCTGCAGCACCTGTGAGCATGCCGTGTGCTGCCATGTGCTTGCTGTGAGGTGCGAATGCAGTGTGCTTGCTGTGACAATGGTGCCTCAAAAGACATCCCCACCACCTTTGGCGCTCTCACCAACCTGCAGCACCTGTGAGCATGCACCGTGGTGCCTCTGCCTGTGCCACGCCCTGCTGTGCTGCCGTGTGCGTGTGAGTATGGTGTGCTTTGAGGCTCATGAAAAGACATCCCAACCACCTTTGGGGCTCTCACCAACCTGCAGCACCTGTGAGCGTGCCCTGTGCTTGATGTGAGGTGCACGCTCTGTGCTACCGCTACCCATGCCCTGTGCTTGCTACGAGCATGGTGTGATTTGAGGCGCCTTGAAAGACATTCCCACCACCTTTGGGGCTCTCACCAACCTGCAGCACCTGCGAGCATGCCGTGTGCTGCCATGTGCTGCCCTGTGCTTCCATGTGCTTGTTGTGAGCATGCTGTGATTTGAGACGCCTCAAACGATATCCCAACCACCTTTGGGGCCCTCACCAACCTGCAGCACCTGTGAGCATGCCCTGTGCTGCCGTGTGCTGCCATGTGCTGCCCTGTGCTTCCATGTGCTTGCTGTGAGGTGTATGCTCTGTGCTACCGCTACCCATGCCGCGTACTTGCCGTGAGCATGGTGTGATTTGAGGCGCCTCAAAAGACATTCCCACCACCTTTGGCGCTCTCACTAACCTGCAGCACCTGCGAGTATGCCGTGTGCTGCCATGTGCTGCCCTGTGCTTCCATGTGCTTGCTGTGAGGTGTATGCTCTGTGCTACCGCTACCCATGCCGCGTACTTGCCGTGAGCATGGTGTGATTTGAGGTGCCTCAAAAGACATTCCCACCACCTTTGGCGCTCTCACTAACCTGCAACACCTGTGAGCATGCCGTGTGCTGCTGAATGCTGCCTGCCTTGTTCCTGTCAGTGCTCAGCCCTATCTTAACGAACGGTTTTGGCAGACCACGTTAAGAAGGCAGACCACGTTAAGAAGGCAGACCACGTTAAGAAGGCAGACCACGTTAAGAAGGCAGACCACGGTTTTGGTGTATCCACCGTTCAGCGCCGAGCTACGATCATCTCCTCTGTTCCCCCACCTTCTCATTCTTTCTCTCCTCCCTCCTCTCTCTCCTTTATCCCTTTCCCTATCATCCCATCTCCTCCCTTCACTTCTACCCTTCCCTTCTCTTCCCCCCATCACAGCAATCTGAGCATCTTCCTCTCTTCCTCCACGCCTGTTGAGTCTACTAAGAAACTCCGCTCCAGTTCATTCCCTCCCTTCGCTTCCCTTTCTTCGTTCCCCCCTTCCCCCTCCCCCTCCCCATCATCACAGCAATCTCGGCATCAACCTGGTCACGGGCCCGCTTCCTCTTTTCCTCAACACCCTGCCGTTGCTCTCGCCCTCTCTTTCCTCCCCCCCGCGCCTCTCCACCCCATCCCCCTTCCCCTACACACCCTATCACAGCAATCTCGGAATCAACCTGATAACAGACCCGCTCCCTCTGTTCCTCTCAGTCCTTCTTTCCTTCCTTTCTACCTTCAACCTCCCCTCCCCCCATCACAGCAATCTCGGCATCAACCTGGTCACGGGCCCGCTCCCTCTGTCTCCACACTCTTCCAGTCGACTAGAAATCTTCTCTCTCCAGTTCATTCCCTCCCTCTCTCTCGACACCCTTTGCTTCCCTTTCACCCCTCCCCACTTTTCTCCCCCATCACAGCAATCTCGGAATCAACCTGGTCACGGGCCCGCTCCCTCTGTTCCTCGACACTCACTCAGTCGCTCTCTTCCTATCTACCTTCAACCTCCCCCCCCCCCCCCCCCCCCCCCCCCCCATCACAGCAATCTGGGCATCAACCTGGTCACGGGCCCGCTCCCTCTCTTCCTCGACACGCTCTCGCTCCTCACCTTCTTGTGAGTTCTCCCCTTCCTCACTGCTCACCTCCCTCACTCCTCACCTCCCTCATTCCTCACTCCCCTCACCCCTCGCCTTGTCAGTACTTCTCTCCTCACCTTCTTGTGAGTGCTCCCTTCCCTCACTCCTCACCTCCTTCACGCATTACTTTGCCCCTCCCCCAATTCCTTTTTGTCAGTTCCCACCCCTCTTCTTCTTCACCTCCCCCGCTCCCCACCTCCCTCACTCCTCACCTCCCTCACCCAATTTTTTATCAGTGTTCCCCTCTCCCACTCCCCACCTCCCCCATACTCCACCGTCCTCGCTCACCATATATTCTGGCCCTGCTACCTCTGCCTCCACCTGTCACTTTCCAGCTATTCTCGTTCCCTATTTCTCGAACTTCACTCACCCTATCCCTCCCTTGCACTATCCCTGCAAGCTCTCCCTAGCACTCTTACTCTGTATGCTGACCTCTCGTCTGTCTAACCTGTGTCTGTGAGTGTGTGTGTGTGTGTGTGTGTGTGCGTGTGTGTGCGTGTGTGTGTGTGTGTGTGTGTGTGTGTGTGCGTGTGTGTGTGTGTGTGTGTGTGTGTGTGTGTGAGAGGCTTTTTCCCTCTAGGAATCTCGGCGACAATCAGCTCACAGGGACGCTGTCAGCTGGTCTGGGGAATCTCAAGCAGCTGCAGTTCCTGTGAGTGGCTGCAACGGTTGTTGGGGTGGGTGAGTGGCTAGTTACAAGGTATCAGCTTACAGCGATCAGCTCACAGGGAGGGACGCTGTCAGCTGGTCTGGGGAACCTCCAGCAGCGGAGTTTCTGTGAGTCGTTACGGCGGTTAGCAGCATTTGTGAGTGCCTAGGTACAATACAAGTTATAAGCTTACAGCCACAATCAGCTCACAGGGACGCTGTCTGCTGGTCTGGGGAACCTGAAGCAGCTGCAGTTCCTGTGAGCGGTCACGACAGGTATTTTTATGTGGTTGTGACAGTTATCGGTATTCGTAAGCGGTTCCAATGATTATCAGCACTTATGAAGTGCCTGTAACAAGTATCTTACCTGCAGATGTTACAATACTAGGGAAACATTCACACTCGGTTCATACTCGTGTCTCCCCTTCCCTCTCTCCCCATCTTCTCTACCCCCACCCACTGCCCTGAGACCTGTCCAAGTCCAACGTATCTGGATCCACCACCTCTCCCCCCTCCCCCCTTTGTGTCCTCCTTCACCCCTTGCTGCCCAGAGACCTGTCCAAGAACAATGTATCACTTCCATCACACTCTAGTCTTTCCCTCCCCACTACTCGTGTCCTCCCCTCCCTCTCCTCTCCTTCTTCCCCCTTTCGCTCCTCCTCGCTTCCCAGGGACCTGTCCAAGAACAACGTATCTGGGTCCCTGCCGTCAACTCTAGGATCGCTCTCAACCCTCACATGGCTGTACGTAGCTCGCTCTCCCTAACCTCATTATCCCACTCTTCCCCCTCTTTCCCTCCTTTAGTGCCCCCTTATCTCCTGGTTCCCCCTCACGCCTTTCCGCCCCTGTTGTCCGTCTCACCTCCTCTATACAACCCCCCTCATAACCCCCTTCCCCACCTCTCCCCCATCCGCCCCCCTTCATCATTTCTCTCCAATAGGCCATGCCAGCCATTTATCTTCCCTGCGTATCCCCCTCGTTACAGTGGCCTTCAATACAACACCTTAGAGAACATCGAATCAAACCTCACAGATCACCCCCAGTTCCACCACCAACCTCAAACCCCTCCCCCACCCTTCTTCCCTGCCTATTGTCCTCGTTGCAGTGGCCTTCAATACAACACCTTAGAGAACATTGAACGGTCATACCTCACAATTCACCCCCAGTTCCACCACCAACCTCAGAATTCAAACCCCTCCCCCACCACCTTTCACCCATCAACCTCATCACCAGCCTCCTCGCCCCCACTCCCCCTCTTTCACTCCTTCCCACCCCCCTCGGTACAGTGGCCTTCAATACAACACCTTGGAGGACATCAAATCAAATCTTACAGATCACCCCCAGTTCCACCACCAACCTTAAAGCCCTCCCCCACCACCTTTCACTCATCTTCCCTGCCCATTATCCTCGTTACAGTGACCTTCAATACAACACCTTGGAGAACAGCATTCCCAGTTCCATCACCAACCTCACCGCCCTCACCTACCTGTGAGTTCATTTGTGTTATATACTATACACATATTTATATATATATATATATGCTCTCTAATTTTTTGATATGATACTGATTCTGAGTCACCTCAAAAGCACCGTTCCAGTTCCATCAGCAACAACCTCCCAGCAGCTCTTATCCAATGTATGTATATTGTACCACTTTTCGTGAGTGATTGTTTAGAATTCTAAAGAATCCATCACAATCCCTCTTAACAGCTCTCTTAACAGCTCTCTTAACAGCTCTCTTAACAGCTCTCTTAACAGCTCTCTTAACAGCTCTCTTAACAGCTCTCTTAACAGCTCTCTTAACAGCTCTCTTAACAGCTCTCTTAACAGCTCTCTTAACAGCTCTCTTAACAGCTCTCTTAACAGCTCTCTTAACAGCTCTCTTAACAGCTCTCTTAACAGCTCTCTTAACAGCTCTCTTAACAGCTCTCTTAACAGCTCTCTTAACAGCCCTCTTCACAGCCCTCTTCACAGCCCTCTTCACAGCCCTCTTCACAGCCCTCTTCACAGCCCTCTTCACAGCCCTCTTCACAGCCCTCTTCACAGCCCTCTTCACAGCCCTCTTCACAGCCCTCTTCACAGCCCTCTTCACAGCCCTCTTCACAGCCCTCTTCACAGCCCTCTTCACAGCCCTCTTCACAGCCCTCTTCACAGCCCTCTTCACAGCCCTCTTCACAGCCCTCTTCACAGCCCTCTTCACAGCCCTCTTCACAGCCCTCTTCACAGCCCTCTTCACAGCCCTCTTCACAGCCCTCTTCACAGCCCTCTTCACAGCCCTCTTCACAGCCCTCTTCACAGCCCTCTTAACAGCTCTCTTAACAGCTCTCTTAACAGCCCTCTTAACAGCTCTCTTAACAGCTCTCTTAACAGCCCTCTTCACAGCCCTCTTCACAGCCCTCTTCACAGCCCTCTTCACAGCCCTCTTCACAGCCCTCTTCACAGCCCTCTTCACAGCCCTCTTCACAGCCCTCTTCACAGCCCTCTTCACAGCCCTCTTCACAGCCCTCTTCACAGCCCTCTTCACAGCCCTCTTCACAGCCCTCTTCACAGCCCTCTTCACAGCCCTCTTCACAGCCCTCTTCACAGCCCTCTTCACAGCCCTCTTCACAGCCCTCTTCACAGCCCTCTTCACAGCCCTCTTCACAGCCCTCTTCACAGCCCTCTTCACAGCCCTCTTCACAGCCCTCTTCACAGCCCTCTTCACAGCCCTCTTCACAGCCCTCTTCACAGCCCTCTTCACAGCCCTCTTCACAGCCCTCTTCACAGCCCTCTTCACAGCCCTCACAGCCCCTCTTCACAGCCCTCTTCACAGCCCTCTTCACAGCCCTCTTCACAGCCCTCTTCACAGCCCTCTTCACAGCCCTCTTCACAGCCCTCTTCACAGCCCTCTTCACAGCCCTCTTCACAGCCCTCTTCACAGCCCTCTTCAACAGCCCTCTTCACAGCCACTCTTCACAGCCTCTTCACAGCCCTCTTCACAGCCCTCTTCACAGCCCTCTTCACAGCCCTCTTCACAGCCCTCTTCACAGCCCTCTTCACAGCTCTCTCACAGCCCTCTTTCACAGCCCTCTTCACAGCCCTCTTCACAGCCCTCTTCACAGCCCTCTTCACAGCCCTCTTCACAGCCCTCTTCACAGCCTCTCTTCAACTTTCACAGCCCTCTTCACAGCCCTCTTCACAGCCCTCTTCACACCTCTTCACAGCCCTCTTCACAGCCCTCTTCACAGCCCTCTTCACAGCCCTCTTCACAGCCCTCTTCACAGCCCTCTTCACAGCCCTCTTCACAGCCCTCTTCACAGCCCTCTTCACAGCCCTCTTCACAGCCCTCTTCACAGCCCTCTTCACAGCCCTCTTCACAGCCCTCTTCACAGCCCTCTTCACAGCCCTCTTCACAGCCCTCTTCACAGCCCTCTTCACAGCCCTCTTCACAGCCCTCTTCACAGCCCTCTTCACAGCCCTCTTCACAGCCCTCTTCACAGCCCTCTTCACAGCCCTCTTCACAGCCCTCTTCACAGCCCTCTTCACAGCCCTCTTCACAGCCCTCTTCACAGCCCTCTTCACAGCCCTCTTCACAGCCCTCTTCACAGCCCTCTTCACAGCCCTCTTCACAGCCCTCTTCACAGCCCTCTTCACAGCCCTCTTCACAGCCCTCTTCACAGCCCTCTTCACAGCCCTCTTCACAGCCCTCTTCACAGCCCTCTTCACAGCCCTCTTCACAGCCCTCTTCACAGCCCTCTTCACAGCCCTCTTCACAGCCCTCTTCACAGCCCTCTTCACAGCCCTCTTCACAGCCCTCTTCACAGCCCTCTTCACAGCCCTCTTCACAGCCCTCTTCACAGCCCTCTTCACAGCCCTCTTCACAGCCCTCTTCACAGCCCTCTTCACAGCCCTCTTCACAGCCCTCTTCACAGCCCTCTTCACAGCCCTCTTCACAGCCCTCTTCACAGCCCTCTTCACAGCCCTCTTCACAGCCCTCTTCACAGCCCTCTTCACAGCCCTCTTCACAGCCCTCTTCACAGCCCTCTTCACAGCCCTCTTCACAGCCCTCTTCACAGCCCTCTTCACAGCCCTCTTCACAGCCCTCTTCACAGCCCTCTTCACAGCCCTCTTCACAGCCCTCTTCACAGCCCTCTTCACAGCCCTCTTCACAGCCCTCTTCACAGCCCTCTTCACAGCCCTCTTCACAGCCCTCTTCACAGCCCTCTTCACAGCCCTCTTCACAGCCCTCTTCACTAGCCCTCTTCACAGTCCCTCTTCACAAGCCCTCTTCACAGCCCTCTTCACAGCCCTCTTCACAGCCCTCTTCACAGCCCTCTTCACAGCCCTCTTCACAGCCCTCTTCACAGCCCTCTTCACAGCCCTCTTCACAGCCCTCTTCACAGCCCTCTTCACAGCCCTCTTCACAGCCCTCTTCACAGCCCTCTTCACAGCCCTCTTCACAGCCCTCTTCACAGCCCTCTTCACAGCCCTCTTCACAGCCCTCTTCACAGCCCTCTTCACAGCCCTCTTCACAGCCCTCTTCACAGCCCTCTTCACAGCCCTCTTCACAGCCCTCTTCACAGCCCTCTTCACGCCCTCTTCACAGCCCTCTCACAGCCCTCTTCACAGCCCTCTTCACAGCCCTCTTCACAGCCCTCTTCACAGCCCTCTTCACAGCCCTCTTCACAGCCCTCTTCACAGCCCTCTTCACAGCCCTCTCCAGCCCTCTTCACAGCCCTCTTCACAGCCCTCTTCCAAGCCCTCTTCACAGCCCGTCTTCACAGCCCTCTTCACAGCCCTCTTCACAGCCCTCTTCACAGCCCTCTTCACAGCCCTCTTCACAGCCCTCTTCACAGCCCTCTTCACAGCCCTCTTCACAGCCCTCTTCACAGCCCTCTTCACAGCCCTCTTCACAGCCCTCTTCACAGCCCTCTTCACAGCCCTCTTCACAGCCCTCTTCACAGCCCTCTTCACAGCCCTCTTCACAGCCCTCTTCACAGCCCTCTTCACAGCCCTCTTCCCAGCCCTCTTCACAGCCCTCTTCACAGCCCTCTTCACCAGCCCTCTTCACAGCCCTCTTCACAGCCCTCTTCACAGCCCTCTTCACAGCCCTCTTCACAGCCCTCTTCACAGCCCCCTTCACAGCCCTCTTCACAGCCCTCTTCACAGCCCTCTTCACAGCCCTCTTCACAGCCCTCTTCACAGCCCTCTTCACAGCCCCTCTTCACAGCCCTCTTCACAGCCCTCTTCACAGCCCTCTTCACAGCCCTCTTCACAGCCCTCTCACAGGCCCTCTTCACAGCCCTCTTCACAGCCCTCTTCACAGCCCTCTTCACAGCCCTCTTCACAGCCCTCTTCACAGCCCTCTTCACAGCCCTCTCACAGCCCTCTTCACAGCCCTCTTCACAGCCCTCTTCACAGCCCTCTTCACAGCCCTCTTCACAGCCCTCTTCACAGCCCTCTTCACAGCCCTCTTCACAGCCCTCTTCACAGCCCTCTTCACAGCCCTCTTCACAGCCCTCTTCACAGCCCTCTTCACAGCCCTCTTCACAGCCCTCTTCACAGCCCTCTCCAGCCCTCTCACAGCTCACAGCCCTCTTCACAGCCCTCTTCACAGCCCTCTTCACAGCCTCTTCACAGCCCTCTTCACAGCCCTCTTCACAGCCCTCTTCACAGCCCTCTTCACAGCCCTCTTCACAGCCCTCTTCACAGCCCTCTTCACAGCCCTCTTCACAGCCCTCTTCACAGCCCTCTTCACAGCCCTCTTCACAGCCCTCTTCACAGCCCTCTTCACAGCCCTCTTCACAGCCCTCTTCACAGCCCGCTTCACAGCCCTCTTCACAGCCCTCTTCACAGCCCTCTTCACAGCCCTCTTCACAGCCCTCTTCACAGCCCTCTTCACAGCCCTCTTCACAGCCCTCTTCACAGCCCTCTTCACAGCCCTCTTCACAGCCCTCTTCACAGCCCTCTTCACAGCCCTCTTCACAGCCCTCTTCACAGCCCTCTTCACAGCCCTCTTCACAGCCCTCTTCACAGCCCTCTTCACAGCCCTCTTCACAGCCCTCTTCACAGCCCTCTTCACAGCCCTCTTCACAGCCCTCTTCACAGCCCTCTTCACAGCCCTCTTCACAGCCCTCTTCACAGCCCTCTTCACAGCCCTCTTCACAGCCCTCTTCACAGCCCTCTTCACAGCCCTCTTCACAGCCCTCTTCACAGCCCTCTTCACAGCCCTCTTCACAGCCCTCTTCACAGCCCTCTTCACAGCCCTCTTCACAGCCCTCTTCACAGCCCTCTTCACAGCCCTCTTCACAGCCCTCTTCACAGCCCTCTTCACAGCCCTCTTCACAGCCCTCTTCACAGCCCTCTTCACAGCCCTCTTCACAGCCCTCTTCACAGCCCTCTTCACAGCCCTCTTCACAGCCCTCTTCACAGCCCTCTTCACAGCCCTCTTCACAGCCCTCTTCACAGCCCTCTTCACAGCCCTCTTCACAGCCCTCTTCACAGCCCTC